ATATATTCCAGTCATCCAAGGGAAGCCTTCGAAGCCAGTTTTGTGTCATCAAAACACCTTTTTAAATTACCTTCATTACAAGACACACACTCACGTGTAATACTATCATCACATATTTTCTAGATATACCTTCAGTCTGCCGAGGTAGCATGAGTACGAAACACTAAACACTAAACATAATAATCGAAGTCCACCAAGCACATGGTCACAAAATACATATTCTATTTCCTAAAGCTGTGCATGGTTTTATTTCTGGTTTGATATATATCTTAACAATAGATAAAAAATGAGGATAATAAAAGATATACATATGCATGTCCATGCCATAAAAGAACAACACATATATAAAAAATATCAAATAATGATTACTATACGTTTCCTAAACGATAATTGAAGCTATGGTAAGTTACATTGCCCAACACATATTTCGCGACTAAATATCAAATCCTTGTACATTCAAATGCATTCAGTGTTTCGGATGTTGACCAAGTGGGTGAAGCAGTGTGACGCAAATTCTCCATACACCATTGTAATAGGATTTAGGAAATAGAAAGTATGGTTCACTAAAGCGATGTCAGTTCATGTACATCGGAACGACCGCTCACACGCAAATCATGAAGGTAAATGATGTGTAGATCTCACTTGTTTATTGTTTTTTATTATTCTTTTTTCCATGCATATCTGATAAAGATTCACAGAATTCCATGTTCGTCCAAAGCATGGTTATAACTACGTATGTGTATCCTTGCAATCGAAACCATATTGTTGTCCTTGTTACAGGCACCACGTTTGATTGACAGCACGACTGATTTGAGATGTATCATCTGCTTGTACATACTAGTAGCAGCCACAGCTGGAGATCAGACAGGTATGTCAGTAAATGGAGAGATGGACAGATCGGTTTCCACGCTTATGAAAGACGTACGTGGTGAAGTATATGTATGTAGCAAACACTCTAGATATCATCTGTTGTCTAACGTTATCCTATTCTGGGACTTACCATCACCCAAGAGACATCAGATGATGCCAAGACAGTTTACCGTTATTATTCCCCTTATTGATAATCAAGTTTATCAGACTTTAAATGTTATTGATAAAGTGTCTTCACAAAAAATGAAGCTACTTTTAGATATGTGTAAACAAAAAAGAAGCGTTACGCTTCTTGATCATAGACAGAAACCGATAATTGAAGGGCGATTGTAACCTTTGCGGTATATGAACACATATAGCCGGCAATGAATGGCATTGGCCTGCGGAAATGCCATGCCTTTGAGTGATCAGTGGTTTTGTTTTACGTCACAGGTCAATCTTCCCATGGCGGGCATTATTCCCAGTGTATCGATAATGAACAGAATAGTTGGTCGCCGCGGTAGTCCGGGCACAGTGATGTTGACATGACTGAACAGCTAGTTGTTGTTAGAATGTTTATCAGAATGAGTTAACTTATCACTTTCTATCGATACATTTTGACCTCATTTAATGGAGAGATACTGTGCACAAATTATCGAACCGGCATCATCGCTTGTGTAGTATATGAAGGGTGGGGCCATTGATATCCTCCCTCTCCATGATAGAATAACTACTTAAAAGCAAGGAATTATATATAAATAAAGGTAGATGTGTATTGTCTTAGCCATGTTATGACTTTACAGATAGCGTAACATGCCGAGATACAAGTGCGTCCTGTCAGAAGACGTATTGTGGACAACCAGGTATCGATAAAAATTGCCGGAGGACGTGCGGTCGCTGCAACTTAACGGGTTTGTGTAACTTTCTTTATATATCTATCCTTCTGAATAGAATGTATTAAAATATGAAAGACAACATAGCCCGTATAAAGATGTTTAAACTAGTACGATTTGATTGAACGATATATATATCGCCCCACCAACAATAACCAATTATATATTGTCATACAATTCTATTTACAGTGAGATTTGTGTTCCACTGATATAATGCTATTCCAGACACACCACACTATCATATAGAGATTGTATGTTGTATTCACCACAACATGTCCTATCCTTTGGATAGATATCATGCGTAGGCAATCAGTCAAGTATTTCTTTGGGATCAACGTACAAATCCCACATGATTTTTATGTTTAAACAACACCAGTTTGCATACAGTATTATATCTGCACGCATGTAGCATTTACCATGTCGTACTTTGCCCCTATCTGCAAGTACAGAGGCACGGGTGCCTTAGTCGTCTTTGAAGCTGCAATTCGCTATGCAGAAGTCCGTCCTTTAGTCCATTTGTTCGTGGTTTCGAATCCCAGCTGCTGTCCAATTATTATCCTTTCTTTATCAACACCCTAGTACCGATTCAGATATAACTGAAATACGGTTCAAAGAGGCGGGGTCACATCTAAAATATTTAAAATCCATATTATCTTTAGCTTTAAACTGTTTTGCTGTTGCATGAACAGCGTTAGGAAATGAAGATATTAATCTATAACTTATGTTTGTTATAGAAAAAGATGGTTTCTATTTTCTCCAGATTGTGCAGTTGGTATGTACAGGAATGGCGACTCTTGCACAGCATGCCAGAGACACACTAAAGATGACCATGATGAATGTACAAGAACATGTCCGGTAACTGGAAGATGGGGAGAAGCATGTGACAAACAATGTGGGGATTCATGTCAGAGTCTGAGTTGCTATCAGTGGTCAGGGGAGTGTGTTCCTGGTTGCACCGAGGGTAGATATGGAAGACAGTGTGACCTCAACTGTGACCACTGTGGTCTCTGTGGAGACGGAGTCTCAAACTGTGCCCGTGGAGATGGTTCTTGTATCTGTGGATGTAGGGGGAACTTATTCGGAGTGAAATGTGACAAACAATGCGATAACAATTGTCTTAATACATCATGCAATAGCACAACTGGAGCATGTACTCATGGATGCAATCAGGGAATGTTTGGGAAGAAATGCAATACATACTGCAGTGACAAATGCCTACATGGTACATGCTACCAGAATGGATCATGTATTGCGTGTGTGAAGGGACATTATGGTAAACAATGCAAGGAGAAGTGTTCGAGGAACTGTGGTAGTGAGACATGTAGTAGAGATGGGAGTTGCAGTCCCTGTAAACCAGGGTACTTCAAAACGCAGTGCCAGGAGAAATGCAGCGACAATTGTCTGAAAAGAACATGCAGTCAGAACAATGGGACATGTTATTATGGTTGTGTTTCCGACTGGCATGGAGACACATGTGATGTTAAATGTCCTGAGAACTGCGCTACTGACAAATGTAGCAGAGACAACGGTTCGTGTGCAGATGGATGCATAGATGGTTCCTATGGTCATCACTGTAACCTCACATGCAGTAGCAATTGCACAGACATGGAATGTACCACTAACGAACAAGGTATAAGTAATCCTGCCTGTACTTTGGGGTGTAAAGATGGAATGGTGGGAGGCCAGTGTGAAAGTAAGTGTCCTAACCGCTGTAGAACGGGTCTGACATGTGAGTGCTGACTGTCTGGTTTCCCAAAGTAACATGACGGGGTTATGCATCCTCGTTTGTAAAGAATTGAAGCTTGTGATGAGATTAATCGTTTGCCCTTGTTGTAGCACCTTGGGAAAACGTAATCGCAATGAGTCTTCAAGCTTCAAACTTTCAAGCTTTCATGAGTTACATTTAAATCTCATATCAGTGTCGACTATATTGAGGGTATAAACCCGTTTTACACTTCATGTCCTGTATTCACAGCCCCGCCTGGCGACAGCAACAATACCACCCATGCTGTTTGGTCAGCGATTCCTTGTATTCTCATCGCCATTCTGCTGCTGGTTCTCACGTTATTTGTCCGCAAAAGGTGGGCAATGTTTATTTTGAAACATGTCATTTTTGTCATGTTGATTTTTTAGATAGTATTTGATAGTGATTCGTAAACACATGCTCATGATATAGTCGGAATCGTACTATCGACAGAGATTTCTATTGAATATGGAAAGGGTTTTGTCGCTTTTTTTTATTTGTTTGATTATATGAATAGTTATAGAAGGTAACAAACTTGTTGTACCGTAATGGGTACATACTGTCGAGAAACATGTTATATGTATATATGTATATATTATGTATGTATTAATGTCCCATAGTTTGCATTGATTCAGACGAACAGTACAACATTCCCTGAGAGGAAGACAAGGATTCCTAAACGATTCTGCAAACAATACAACAAAAATGCCATTGATCTACCCATCCAATCAGCCTACTTCTGGAGGTAGTATGACATATACTTACAGCCAATTTCGCAAGATATTGTAACAATAATTGTAACTCTTTCATTGTGTAACGTTTAGGAGGCGTAGATAAGTAAATATTCTACTCGACATGAAGAACCAAGGAATGCTTTTTGGTGACACTCAAAAACATATCTGAAATGTTATTGATAACCGACTTGTAACAGGTCGTACCAGTGAGGCAGGCTACACAGATGGTGCTACCGGTAAGGCAGGCTACACAGATGGGCAGTACCAGTAAGGCAGGCTACACAGATGGGCAGTACAAGTAGGGCGGGGTACACAGATTGGCAGTACGCGTAGGGCGGGGTACACAGATGGGCAGTACAAGTAGGGCAGGCTACACAGATGGGCAGTACACGTAGGGTAGGGTATACAGATGGGCAGTACCAGTAAGGCAGGGTATACAGATGGGCAGTACCAGTAAGGCAGGGTACACAGATGGGCAGTACACGTAGGGTAGGGTATACAGATGGGCAGTACCAGTAAGGCAGGGTATACAGATGGGCAGTACCAGTAAGGCAGGCTACACAGATGGTGCTACCGGTAAGGCAGGCTACACAGATGGACAGTACAAGTAGGGCGGGGTACACAGATGAGCAGTACCAGTAAGGCAGGGTACACAGATGGGCAGTACACGTAGGGCAGGGTATACAGATGGGCAGTACCAGTAAGGCAGGGTATACAGATGGGCAGTACAAGTAGGGCGGGGTACACAGATGAGCAGTACCAGTAAGGCAGGGTACACAGATGGGCAGTACACGTAGAGGAGGCTACACAGATGGGCAGTACAAGTAGGGCAGGGTATACAGATTGGCAGTACCAGTAAGGCAGGGTACACAGATGGGCAGTACAGGTAGGGCAGGGTATACAGATGGGCAGTACCAGTAAGGGCAGGCTACACAGATGGCGGTACCAGTAAGGCAGGCCACACAGATGGTGCTACCAGTAAGGCAGGTTACAGATGGCAGTACCAGTAAGGCAGGGAACATACATGAGCAAATGAGCATTATATGACATATGACATCTATATATATTAATTTTGGATAGTCCTGTCTACTAGTATGTCATATGTTCAAGGTAATACGACCCCCGTTGACCAACTGAACAACAATGGGAAAGATGCCTCGTTATCCACTGATATCATAAAAGAGAGCAATAGAACTTCCCTTTTACGAGCTCGAGCGCCAAGTCATTCGGCACTGTCGCGGGATGATAGCAGATCTGTATTTGGTTTTGACCCTCACCCATGTCACGTGACTGACACGTCACACCCAGACAGTGCGTGGTCAACGGAAGTGTCCGTCCTAAATCTGAGCACCTATGTTGAAATTATGAGGAGGACTGGTGGTTTCTCTGCACACTGTGCTGTGAGTGATTTCTTTTTCGTATTGTACAGTAAATAGACAGAAAACAAAGAACTGATGACTTTAAACTTTTATCAAACTGATTATAGGCATCGTTTCTAATACTGACATAGTTTTACCACTTGCATTAATCTGGTATTTAAACACAATGAACATAACACTTTCATGTTTCCGGGCCTGCCTAAGGACCTTCCCCGTGGCAAGCTTGGGTCCTGTCATGAAGCCGAATTACCAGAAAATGCTTTCAAAAACAGATATAGCAATATATTACCCTGTAAGTATCAGTAACATTTTATTTAGACATTTCTGTTCACTTCCAGCCAGTTAAAGAAAAATCGAAGAAGAAATATATATTTTCTAGAAAGATGTTGCAGTGCATATAATTTCCTTAGTGACAGCTCCAAATTGCCATTCGGTACTCTGATGGAGGTTTGCTTGCTGTAAAGTAACTATGTTGTAAATTATCATGCTATTACAGAACATTAACACGTAGACTAAACCGAATGCTTTCCTTTCACATTGGATCTTTGTGTGTGAGACGTTTTAGCTTTGTCCTCCGAACAGTTAAGGAATATACGTGTAAAGTGGAATGACCAAGAACATTAAACCCCACGTACCTTCCACGACAAAATAGTCAGTGAGTCAGTATGGTTTTACGCCGCTTTAAGCAATATTCCGGCAAATTCACGGCGGGGACACCAGAAATGGGCTTCACACATTGTACCCATGCCGGAAATCGAACCCGGGTCTTCAGCGTGACGAGCCAACACTTTAACCACTAGACTACCCCCACCGCCCCCAAAATAGTATGAAAACATAATTTGATTTATGCTTATGATATATGTCGACATAATTAAACAATACATGTTGCTATAATTGTTTCAGATGATCATTGCAGAGTCAAACTAACCCCTATCCCCAACATCCCTGGATCCGACTACATCAACGCTAGCTACATAAACGTAAGTCCATCGCGAATGAGTTGATACTTAAGGCATCAGATCAGGTCTTTGAAAGGCATTTCTCCTGATAAAGGAGTAAGCATATACTCCAAAACCTTGTGTTCTTCATAATAAAGAAGTTTGCATCCATATATTCTCTTCCTTAAGGCATCAGATATTCTGCAGCAATTTGTGGTAATTTCAAGGCAATAGACTATCTTTTGTAACATACATTATAACGTCTAACTGTCCCTGTTAGTTTTCATTCTTTAAGCAGTTTCCCTTTATAGTTCATACTTTTATTAATTTGAGGATGCTGTATTTTGAAAAATTGAGATTTAGTTGCATTGCACATGAAACATTCTTTTATGTAAATATTTTAAGTTTGGAGAATATTAATGTGAGTTGTCTCTAACAATGATTGTTTTTAAGGACGGAAGAGGGTTATATATAACAGAGAGTCACACATCTGTTTCGGTTTACCCGTTTCTCTTTATTTCAGGGATATGGGGCGTCACAGGAGTTTGTAGCTACACAAGGTAATATTTCTTGTTTGATTGTTTCCGGTTTACATGGCGCGTTTGTTTCAGTTGACACTTGTAGTACATGAACTATTTATTAACCTACAATTTATTTCTCGAAATATTATTTTATATTCCCAGGACCTTATGGAGACGTCATACGAGACTTCTGGAGAATGACGTGGGAAATAGATGCGAGTAAAATAATTATGCTGACAAATTGCGTAGAAAACAGAAAGGTATTAATAAACAATGCAATTATCGCTATTTTATCAATTGCAAATAAAAAAGTTATAATTATATGTTGCTTTCGTTTCACGGATTATCACGATACTATTATAGATATCAATAAAACATGTATGAATGTGTTCACTATTAGATGCCATTATTTGCTGATGACCCGCGAAGATCCGGGGTAGAAAAGGTCTTCAGTAACCCATGCTTGCCGTAAAAGGCGACTATGCTTGTCGTAAAAGGCGGGTGGTCAGGACCGCTGACTTGGTTGATACACGTCTTCGATCCCAATTGCGTGGATCGATGCTCATGGTATTAATCACTGAATTGTCTGGTCCAGACTCGATTATTTACAGACCGCCGTCATAGAGCTTGAATATTGCTGAGTGCGACGTTAAACAACCAACCAATAAAATCCATCAAAGCTGGTGATTATTTACAGACAAACTATGTGAGTGTTGATGTAGTATTTAAACAACATACTGACATGAACATATCCCCTTCCTTTTCAGGCTAAGTGTGAGAAGTACTGGCCCGACTTCGGCCAGCCATGTTCCAACTACGACGATGTCCATGTTCAGTGTGTGGCCGAGGAGGAGATGACGGACTACACAGTCAGGACGTTCTCTATACACAGGGTACTGATACATGTACATACAGTCTCTCCACTGTGATACTCTCGCATACTGTGAACAGCGAACATATCTCACAATCTTCATTTGATGGGAGATTTTCACTGAAAGAATAAAATGAAAAAACCCATGTGCTTTTCAGGAGGCGGAGTTACCTAGGACACTGAAGCAGTACCACTTCACTGCATGGCCAGACAAAGGAGTACCAGAGGATGTCAGGGCGCTGGTGGACGTCTACAGACTGGCCAAGAACGCACCGTCGATTGGAAAAGGCCCAACGGTCGTCCATTGCAGGTCTGTCGTGCATAGTCTTGAATTTTTTACATACATCTGGGGCCATTATGTCCCGACCTTGTGAATCCCTGATGTCGAATGATACTGACAGGAAAACGTGTGTCATTTATTTCGAGAACACTAACTCGGTGTCGTCCTTGTTATCACAGTGACGTGTTTAATATCACATATACTCCATTCCTTCTATCCAGCAGATATACCTGATGAATTACCGATGGTACTGACGACAATAAGTGGATATTTTATCAGATGAGTTCCACATGTATTGCATTCAGTGAAATACGTAGCATGTGTCTCAACGGGAGTGGCATTCTGCAGTGCCGATGTAGGTCGTAGTAAACTTGATGGTGGGTAGGGATGACATCCTTTGGGATTTTGTTGTAATGTTTTTCTATTTTCATGTGTTGATACCAATGCAGGGAATGGAAACCGGGTTAACCAAAGGGTCAAACCAACTGACTACCCCTACCTCTTCGTATGTCTTGATACAAAACTGGGGCGGTCGGGTAGCCTAGTGGTTAAAGCGTTCGCTCGTCATGCCGAAGACCCGGGTTCGATTCCCGACATGGGTACAATGTGTGAAGCCCATTTCTGGTGTTCCCCGCCGTTATATTGCTGGAATATTGCTAAAAGCGGCGTAAAACCATACTCACTCACTCACTCACTTGATACAAAACTGAACATGTAGTACCTGTGGCCTTCAACTTAATATTGACCAATGTAGCACTTGTTGTTGATTATATGGTTACTAGGAAAAGAACATGAGCTCGTGGAGTTTATATTCCCTGAGTAAGTAAGTTGTATAATTCAGTGCTGGCGTGGGCCGGACTGGGACGTGGATCGCTCTGGACTATTTGATTGAACAAGCCAAGGCGGAAGGTGCGGTGGATGTCTTTGCGTGCATTGTTCAGCTCCGACATCAGCGAATGAATGTAATACAGACACAGGTGAGAGGTCAAGGAGATAAACCTTCTACTGATACATACAATTATTACTCGTGTGTCACAATCTAATTTAAAAACTGAGCATTCTGATGTCATATGGATATATACTTGATGTAGAGAGTGAAGAAACATAAAAAAAAATCGAGCATAAGATCACATAGGTCTTGTACTCCCGAGGAAGCAGCTCTTGCAAAGCGAATTCAGCTGCGTACTACAGGACCTATAGCTACCCGTACCCTCAGACCTAAATGAAGTTTATTATGAAATTTTGAATTTCCCTTTCTTTCGATAGATCATCTGTTCCTGGGTGTTTCTTGGCTGAAGTTTGATATTTCAGATCACAATGCTCATATGTTACACCCCGTTTTATTTTCTACATATTTATTTTTCACCAGGATCAATACATATTTCTCCATGAGGCCCTGATGGAGGCTCTCCAGTCAAGTGACAAGGAGGGACAATACGACAGAATGAGGTCCAGCTGTGTCGACATCGGTAATGGGGATTGCGAAGTCTTGGAGGTGAATTGATATGATATAAAATGATATGCATCAGTGTGTAAATGAATGAATGGATGACTGGGTGGATGGGTGGATGGTTTAATGGATGGATCGATGGAATTATTATTTATATTTCTTTGAGACTACATAACGCTGCAAGGAATCCATTTTTGTATCAAGAAACAGCTGTACATCACCATGGCAACAACCTACTGCAGACATTCCCCTGCGAAGCTATTAGGATAACCGTTTTTATCAGCACAGGCACCAGGTGACGGTGGGTGGATCCACCATATACATGCAGGCGTGCCTAGGGGGGTCACCATATGACTCCTTCAATTTTAAGTAAGACACTGCTTTCTAAGTACGAAGCATGTGGCTTGCTCGAACCACACGCTACTGCTTGTACTCACCCAGACTAATGCCAGCGTCACAGTGCAAGTCCACTGAGATACCATATGCATGCCGCAGTTTAACATGGATTCCACACTCAGACACATAGAACTGACTCTGAGCTGACAAGTCCCTCTTCTATTCCCTGTATGTCGAGCCCGAGGCAGGGTATCATTTGACGCGTTTTGGTATAAGGCGGACGGGGGTCGAACCTCCGCTATCCGGGCAGACGCTCCATCCGGACCACAGATGCATGACTCATGAGAGACATCTGATTAGTTTGATTTGTCCTACAAAAGGGTATTCCATGATTCTAATGTTTTGTGTTTCATTTCAGGACAAACGCAGTTGACAATGACGAAATCCCACCAATCTGCATAACCCTGTCATGGATATCTGGACACAAGCTTCAAGAGCGACAGAGTTATGTTTAATCCTTGCTTTACTAAAGAATGTTACATCAATGTTAATAGCAATCAATAGTCTATATATGTTGTATGATGTGATTCCTTGAAGCAAATCATAATATTAGTCGTTTTGCTGGTCTTTATTTTCATAGTATTTTTCAAACAAAAGGATGGAATATATTCCCAATCACTCCACTGTACATTTGTTTCCCAGTTACCCCACGGTTGCTTTATTGACCACCTCCCTAACTTTCAGTGGTCAAGACAAATTGTGTTGTCCGAATGTTTATCCTATACGTCAGCAACAGCTTGATGTTCAGCTTCGATAAAAAAAAAATGTGAATATCGAGAGAGAACACTATATGACTTTATTCTAAATCGTATCCTCGATTACTCTCGTATAATACAGCTAACGCCCACTGAGGACGTGACTAGCCTGTTGTCATAGACATTTGTATACGGGAGTCATATGGCAAGGGGAGTTGAGAAGAAAGAGGCTTAAGGCAAACTTAATATTTTAGATTAATTCAACCGCTTTACCATGATGACATTTAAACCCAGATTTCAACAGTGAATAGATTACGTGACGTTTTATGCAAGCATTCGAAAATATTAAACGTAAATACGCACATATATCTGGAAAAAAAAGTTCACAAGAAAATTATTCTTATTCATAAACCACCTTGTGACAAAATATGGATACGACAAAAAAATTATGTGTTAGTTTCGGTTTGAACAAGGGTCATTTGTATGTGTGCTCGACTGTGGGTATTCTGCCCTAGTTTCATATCGTGGATCTTCACCTCGGTTACCAACATGTCAATGTGACCCTCAGCAGGGTGACGGGAGTGTGTCAGTGGAAATATGTCCTGCTTAGACGGCTTTGAAACTGATCCTATTGTACACATAATAACAGACCCGTTTAAAGTTATCAAAAGAAGAAGAAATTCTTTTGTTCAGCCAGCAGTTTATTGATGTGAGGAGGCGTCTTCCGGGTAAATGACAAGTTCAGGATATTTGAACTTATTTAACGACGTGCTTGTGTGTGACTGATCGTACCCGTCCGGACTTACATGTATGTCGGTTTCTTAGAATAAGTATACCAAAAGACGTTAAAACATGGTACTTGTTGTTACCCTGTCTGGCGCTCGGCATTAAGGGGCTAAAACAAGGACTGGTCGGCTCGGAGTCAATATACTGTGTCTGAGTGGGGTATTCATGTTAAACTGCGGCATAGTATCTCAGTGTGCTAGCACTATAAATCGGCCGTCCGGACTTACATGTATGTCGGTTTCATAGTGCTCGTACAATGAGATACCATGCCGCAGTTTAACATAGAGACCCTACCCACACACTGCTTCTAAGCAGACCAGTCGTGGTTTAATATCCGTAATGTCGAACACCAGTCAAAGTAACCACAAGGACAATTATTCAATGCAGTTAGACCGGGAGATCGAGCCACCGACTTTCCGCTCTCCGGGCAGATGCTCTTTTCACCAAACCAGGATGTTGTCAGCTGAGATAGATATCATAATTGCGTTTTGTGTATGGACTATGTTTTGTTGAAAATTAAATGCAAGAACAAGTCTTGGTTGATGCTGTGAAACATACACGGTATTGTTGCATGCCCTTGATAAAAAATCATTTTCTATTTCCGGCTTGGCATGCTTCCAAACCACATATGCTTTTCGAGAGGTTGTTTTGATTTCATATATATATGTATAAAATATACATAAACTCCGGACACCGATATACCAAAAGGGTAAATTGTAAACGAGTTCCCACCCTAGGCTACTTGATGTGTCCTTTACGTGACACCAAGCATTCAAACCTTTTCCACGTTTACCGAGTACAAAACTGTAAGATCATGATATATATTTCAGCTAAATGACCTTATTGCGATCAAATTCGACAAATAGTAGATCTTATCTTCTTGGACACATCCTAGATTTGCTAATTTGCATCCCTATTAATGATACATCCGTCACACCTTCGACCGACTAACATCCTTGATACCTGAAACTGACTGTTCTACGCATACCTGGAATCAACTAACCTCAGATCAGGAGCAGAGTAACCAAGTTACTACGCATATACATGCAATATAAAGACATCCTTTCTTAACGAAATTGAAATGTCACACAACCTCCCCATTTGTTATCATTTATAAACATTTCTATGGTATAACCATTGGGTTCATCCAATGGATTCTCTGTGTTCTCTGTAGTTTACCCTACAGTTTTGTATACAGAATGTGCTTCCTTCTTTTTTGCTCTCTGTACTAATGTATATAATTTTACTTTTACTTTTGTGTAGAAAGTTGTCTAGAATCGCAAGTAAAACATCCAACAACTGCCGGTGTAGAAGGTATAATCATCATTATGAGGGAGCACAAGTGGCCCAGTCATCTAAGGCGCTGCAATTCGCTGTGCTGAGTTGCTTCCCTTCGATCGGTGGGCCAGAAACCTATAATCGTTAGTACGGATCATAGATTGGCCCTGTTAATAAGTCATGCTTTGTCAACCCCAATGGAATTAGATATATGAAATTAATTTATCTAACTTGATAGTGTTGGTGCACTAAATCACGACTGATCATAACGAAGCTGCTAACAATTGAACAATGTGTAAGATATTTGTCACTTCCACATTTCATATATCCTAAACTGTATGTAAATGTTATGATAATACCACGGGGTCAAACCTTCTTTAGAAAATTACATAAAAGGGAAATAACCTGTACCACAATGGCTAATAATATAATATACTGGAATAATATCAGTGCTGTCAGTGATGGACACAATATATGACTTTGGTGAAGTGTATTCAAGGGTGTATGTTAAAGTAAAATACCACGATGAGGTCAAAAAGCGAAATACGCTCAAACAATATCATAAATTTATCATATTACATATACCTTGAATTTGCCGTATATAAAATATATGTATATGCAAAATAGCAGAGAAATGGAGAGAGAAAATAATTAATACAGCTTTTATTGTGCCAGAATTCAGATCAGAATTCACAAATGAAGTTTTAGACACCTTTGCTGAGATGTTATACCTTGGAGCCTTAGGCCTTTAGTTCAAAACAGATGACGACGACTTACGGCGAGTGACAACACTCCACGACATGACATTCAATATGACTGTTCCAAAAAGTCAGGGGGTATGTTTAATATTAAGACACGTTTTAGAGACACCAATACCAGGGTCATTTATGATAAAGTTTCAGTAACATGGGACTTGCTGTTGGTATGCGATAGTGTAAAATGTGACATTTAGATGGTTGTACGGGCGATAGCCAGTATACCTACTACTCAGGGCATTTTTCACTGTACATGACGCAGCATCCATCAAACAGTAAGGTTCTTATAAGACCCGGTTCTAATTTAGCACCGACCTTTAACAAACGCCGACGCTAATGTCATGGACATGTTTATACTCCCAAATTCCCTTAGCTATAAAGCGCCCTATTATATTTCGTTTAACTTAATTTGTAGTTATACAACATAATCATAGTGCGCAAATGAATTTTACAAAAATTAGCAAATGTATTGATTAAAAGTTGATGTGAAAGATAAAGTATGGAGAAATTACGGAAACAGTAAAGAGCAAAATAGATGTGAAACTCATGTCTCCTTACCTCGTAAAAATACATTTTAGTCCAATATAGTACTTTTAGTGTTAATGTAAAATTACGAACCGGAACACGCGACCGAAACCAGGCAGAATAAAAAAAGCAGAGGATGCAATGTAAATAGCGCACGAGAGTCTCAAAAATCTCCCCTCGCGACCTCCCACGACAGGGCTTGAAGGATTGTAGTGAAGGATTTGTTCGTTGTTTAAAGCCGCATTGGTAATGAGTACCATGCTTGTACATGTAAGATTTCAGGGTAACATCATGTCATTATCGCTGTTCAAAATTCAAAACTTTGTCACTTTATACATTGAAGGAGAGGGCGTAGGAAACAAACGTGTTCCACATATGGGTAGGGCTTACCCTTTTTGCGAGCATCTGGTGCCATCACTGATTTTCAGTGATCCGTGTATATATTTGTTACAACTGTTTAGCCCTTTATTCCTAATATAATCGGGTTTTCTCTGTATAAACGAGACTGCTTATTCTTTGGCCTTGTTGGTTTATATTTTATTCTATAATTTTGCAGTGTTCAATTTTTTAAAGAATGTTGTAACTGAATTACATTGTTTCTGTTGAAGTTCATGGCATTGTGTTTTGACATAGTGCTAGCTAATGATAGCAGTGGTGTGGTAGTTATATATATTTATATGCTTTTGGAATCAAGTATAATCTTGAATCTTGAAACAGGTAGACTCATCTCGCACTGTATTTAACATTTTGGACGGTATTTAGACTATATACTGTGGTCAAGAGCGTGCCTATCTGATATCAATTTACATCAACACCAGCGGTTGTGTGAAGATATTTGATTTCACCCTGGATATCCAGCCTATTTTGAAACCTTGACCACTGTTACTGCTAGGTGAATATTATAACCACATGACTGCTATTATATTTTATACTGCCGTTGTAGTTCTACTGCCACTGGATTTTGTACTGCCACTCTACTGTGTACTACCAATGTAATTGCTGTGCAGTACTTTGTATTGATTTGTACACCTAATTAATATTACAATACAATTTTTAATTGTATACTATTTCTTTGTTGTTTGTTTGTTTGTTTGTTTTATACTGATTTTATTTACGTATAGATTTCTGGGTTAACTTATTATATCAATTTTGAAGTCTACACGTAACAATCCTGAAACAGATCCCTTAGAAAAAAATCAAGAAACTAACCCAACAATGCATGTCGAAAAGGAGATGCAAATATATAAAAGCGACTAAAATTTCTGCCCAAAACAGTCGATTGTACGATTCCGACTACATCATGAGCATGTGTTTATAAATCACTATCAAATAGTAATGATACTAGGTGTTCGCGAAATGTTGAGCGTTTCCTGCCCAACCGGGCAACCCGTCACAGCAAAACATATCAAAACATAGCACAGTCAATTGTTCACCTCAAAGAGGCACGGGCACATATCGTTCAAGTCAATATGGGGAATTGCATCGGACATCATGAATGTCACTGATGCGTCAAATTTGGCCTTGAATGTTGTAACCTTGATCAAACTCAATATGAACAAGAGTTGTAAGACGCTCCTTGAAATTTTGGAAGAAAGAGCACGCTCGATTTTACCTGCAGGAGTATTCCTTGACATCAAGGGAAAGTTGAAGTAATCCCTCTTGTCATACAGTCTGGTGGAGAGTGTTTTGTCACTCTGAATCTTTCTGCATACATCTAAATATGAAACGCATGAGGCGGTCTCCTTTATTTCTCGTTCAGGTGGGCAAGATAATGGAAGGGAATTTGGTCATTTGATGGATATTGCACAATATCAGATCATCGATATACCTAAAGCTTAAGTTAAACTTCTTGGCCAAATTACCTTGTTTTGACTATGCCAATCCGAGCAGAAATTCATATTAACACTCGCATA